TAGGAAGATGGAGAAGGGTTTTTCGTTTCTAGCTTGCTTTCTTGAGGGGATTCTTGAAGTTATGGTGTTCTAAGAGCATATATACGAAAATGGAGTTGTATGAGGAAGGATTTTTAATGTAAACTTGGAACAAAACAATAGAGTTTACCAAAAACTTTCCAAGTTATGAAGCTTGAAGAAGACTTTCTTGAAAAACACACTCACAAACCTACGAAATTTTGAAGAAGAAAATAAGAGAGTTCTTGAGTGTTGAGAGAAAATGTGTTGAAATGAAGTTGTAAATAGGGTGGGGGTGAGGCATCGGTCGAATTAGAGAGAGAAGGAGGGGGGGGGGGGGGGGAGGGGAAGATCAATCATTGATACATGTTGGACAAAGACTATCCTCCTAGATGTATGTTAGTCAATTGCATGGATAGATGTTATGCAATATTTAGGTGGCAACTTAGGTAATTCCTCCAATTTTCTTTTTTTTCTCTTTTTTTTGTTTAACCCAACCCTAACCGGCCCAAGGGGGGTCTCGGCCCAAGGTTGGCCCAAAAAATGTTTGTGGGCTTCGAACTTGACTTGGTCCAAGGATTTTCAGCTCAATAATGTTCTAGGAAGGGTATTGGACCAATTAAGGGGTTTTCGGCCCAAGTATGAGTTTATGGAATTTAGAAACTTTTGGCCCAATAGGGGCCCAATAATGGTTTTTGGCCTTACAAGGCTCATTAGAGGGTTTTCGATCCAATGGAAAGTCCAAGAGTGAATTGCGGCCCATTGATGCTAAAAATAAGGTTTTCGGCCCAATGGGGCCCAAAGGATGACTTTCGGCCCAAAATAGAGCCTAATTGAGGTTTTCGGCCCATTAGAGCCCAAAAGAAAGTTTTCGGCCCAAAAGGACCAATTTGAGAGGTTAGCGGCCCTTTAGGGCCCAATAAGAGAGTCTTGGTCCAAATAGGGGTGTGGGCTGAGAAAGCTTGGGCTAAGGTTCAAAGTCGAGTAAACTTAGCTTATCGGATTAGGTTTTGGGCTTATACGAGATGGTTTCGACTTGAGTCATGATTTTTGGATGTATAAATTAAATAATATTTAAGTTTGATTTGTATTAAACGTAGTGTTACAAGGTTACACAAAGAATTTATCTTGTACAAGATAGAAATCTTAGCCCTAACTTGCTGGTTGTGACATCATCCCCCCGTTAGAGGGAATTTCGTCCCGAAATTCTTTCGAATGTAATCCTTAAGAACTAGAGAAGTGATGGGGGTATTTCTGCATCATATGATCCTCGCGTTCCCATGTGAATTCGGGTCCATGCCTGGCATTCCATTGGACCTTCACAATAGGAATGCACTTTGTTTTGTTCGTTTCACTTCTCTATCCATGATTTCGACTGGTTCCTCAATGAAGTGGAGATCCTCATTCACCTCAATTTCATCAAATGGTACCACGAGGGTTTCGTCAGACAAGCATTTATTCAAGTTTGACACATGAAAGACGGGATGTACTTCGCTGATTTCAAGCGGTAGCTGGAGTTTATAAGCCACTGGACCAATCCTTAGCAAGGATTTTCAAAGGTCCGGTGTGTCTTGTGTTCAATTTCCTATGCTTTCCCAGAGCGTATTATCTCTTTCCAAATGGGGCTTTTAGTAGTACACGGTTACTGACTTGGGGGTTCCAAGGGCTTCTGTCACTTGCTTGCATAGTTCTTTTGTCAGCTTCTATATTCCTCTAGTCATGCTCGAATTTGGGTGATCTCTTCGATTGTCTCCTTGGTGCTTTCGGGGCCGGTGACAGTGTCGTCGGGCACTTGCCCTTTTGCTAGTCGTGTGTTGGTCACCTCAGCCTATACGGGGTGGTCTGCATTTACGTCCTCTATGGTGAGGTGAATGGATGGTCACAGTTAATGAGGATTGATTACTTGACACCCCAAAAGTAGTGCATCTAAACTATAAGGCGAACACTATTGTCACTAAGGTTAAGGTCGCGTGATGTAGTTGGTCTTAAAACTCTTAGGC